GACAGTGCACTGGATGGAAAATCCCAATAGTCCACACCAGCAGCCACCCCTCTGACTGTGGCGCTCAGCTGCCTCCTCCCCCTCTGCTTCCCCATGTGTCACGGCCGGAGGGCACTGGACATAGTATGGAGACTGCCAATACCAGAGCACGCAGTAAGGGTCCTTTGGGCTGAGCTTCCTTTGTGATCCAGGGACCTCTTGATGCTAACTGGCAGAGGACATTTTACTGATCTATACGTATATTCATTTCACACTGAGCACTGACACCATGTGCAATACCTTAAAAGTCAATGAAGTTGTACAGGTTGTAAGCAGAAAACTTAGCTCTGAATGTTTTTATCAGAAGTATCTGGAACACTTTTCATTATAGCCATACATTTCTTAAAGTTAAATTGCAAAGCTAAAATAAAAAATGATGTAAGCACTAAAGTATGTGCTAAATGCCCAGCTAAGGTGTTGAGGGCATTCAGCACAGAAACAATTAGTTTAACTTGCTTATAATGGATTGCATGGGACTAATTGTATCAGTGAGATCACAGAATGATGCATTCTGGGATTTCTTTAGTGAACTAGAAAAGGATTAACTGATGGCAAAACAATGGATTTCTAAAATAGCAAGCTTAAATGTATTCAGTGTTTGTCCCCACTTGTTGGGGAATGGGGGGATGTAGGAAGAGGGGAGGGAGATTTGTGCCAAATTTCTGGGCATAACTCAGTTTTCCTATACATTTGGTTGGTATTTTACGTCTATAGACATTTCCACTAAGTTTTTTCCCCTACAAATGCAACTACATTTTTTTTAAATCTGAAAGAGAAAAATATCAACGAAAAATGTTTTACATGCACAAAACACCACCTCCTACTGCACATTTCCTTGCAGTGCAATATTTTAGACCTTGTATTTTATATATTCAGAGGAACTCCCCAATAGAATATTTGCCTGAGAATGGAGTGCAGGTTCAGGCAAAAAATGCACTCATGAAATATTTTTATTTGGCCAAATTCTGTGCCAACTCACACCCGGGCAATCCCATTGGCTTCAGTGATTCAGCATGTGATGTGTAGTTAAAGAATCTGTCTTGTTGCCATTTGCTCCTCCTTCAGAACTCAGTCCTGTGAGGTATAGAGCATCCTTAACTTCCATCAACCTCTGTGAGCGTCAAGGGTGCTCTGCAACTTTGCAAGATTGGACCCTTAAACAGTTCTTGCAGTAAAAAAAAAAATTCTGTTTGTATTCTGTCTTGTGTTCTTTTCAGATGAAACAGTGAAATGAAAATTTCCCTTCATTCACTGTTAGGAAAAGCATGTTTTTCAACATCTCCTTTGAACATCATCCATGTGTTAGAATATTTTTAAGTGTATTTTTAAATAGTGACTGGCAACCTCTGAAACACCATTTCAGTTTGAATGAGGTCATATGCTACCAAAATACTATTCATATTAGGAAACTCACATGAATTGAAAGTAGCACAGCTATAAAAGGGAAGGGAACAGGTGTTTTGTTAGATAGCAAATACTGATCATTTAACTGCTCTTTATACATGTGTAAAATAATTGATACTTCATATTTTAAGAAATTACAAACTTGTACCAGATATCAATAAGCTGCAGTGTTTCTAATTTAAAGTATGATTACTTTTAAATCTTTTGATGACTAAAACATGATATCCTGTGTGTCACTCTTCTAGAGAAGTTCAGGTTTCATAATGTGATATGGGATCAAAAGAATTTTGCTTGGGTACCAAACATCTGATGGCTAAGAGCAGGCTGGCAGGAAAACAGGGTACAGCACCACTACTGTGCTTCTACAGGAAAAACCGGAGGGATTATCAGCATTCTGAACTTTTCATAGAGTTTACTGTAAAGTGTATATTCAGCCTGTTATGAACAAGTATTTACTGTGCTGCCCCAAATCGTGGAGTAGTTTTCTTGGGTGCAATGGGACTGCTCACATGAATAAGAGCTATGGGATTGGGCCACTAGAGTCTGTTCCCAAGTTTTACAGTGCCTAAATAGGAATTTGAGCATGTAACCTAATTTCACTAAGACTCAGTTTTCCTTTTTTGTAAAGTGATTTTGAGAACTTCATATGAAAGGTGCTATATGAGTGCATGTTATTGCTTGATTTCAACTTTAATTGAATGTTTTGTAATGTTATATTCCCAATAGCAAACAGGTTATAAAAATAATTACAGAATGTTAGTAATTATTCAACCTAATATTTCAGATACAGTGCTGTATATGTAAAATGTCTTAATGTTAAGGTTTGATGGATAGGGTCTCAGAGGAATCAGGGAAAACTCCTCCTAAAATGTAAACTCAAACATTTGAAAATAAGTCTAAAAATCTAGTTTGTTTATGAGCTCTTTAGATGGACAACCACATGACCACCAAATCAGGATCAATGCAGTCACAGAAGTCCATGTCATTGTGTGCTTGGTTTCAGTGGGACTACTCACATGGGTAAGGGCTGCAAGATAAAGCCCTGGATTCTTGACTCCCACTGTTGTGCTGAAAATGTCAGACTACGCTGTCATCCATATAGTACATACAGCAGTAGTTCCAGAGGACTAATCAATGTATAAAGCACTGAAATTTAAATGTGATACAAGGTTTTTTTGGTTTATATAGTTTCTGTGTCCCAAAGGGTGACTTGCAGCCCTGCATGGTACTAAACTGACTGAAAGAGATGTGCGAGAATTGTTTTACGTTTTTGGAGTTAAGCACTGTTACAACTGTCTTCTTTTGAAATGTGTGAAGAGTAATATGGGATTTCATCAGAAACACTGATATATAATAAATGGAGAATATGATATAACATGCTTACAATAGATAGAAAATACCAAAATATTATGTATTGAATTTGCAAATACATGCACTATATACACTGTGATCTCGTAGCTGTGCACTGTCAGTCAACTGCTTTGAAAAGTCATTCATGTGTCAGTGTTTCTGCCTCATCTTGGGCATGCCAGATAGATTGCATGTGTATGACCTATGTTAGTGAGTGATTAGTAATCTTGCTGTCTTGGTTAGTGAAGGTAAGTTTTGTTGGTGCTTAAATACCAAGGTTTTATGCATCTTAGAAATACCGTATATAGGACCTGTTCTTCACTGCATTGCACCTTGTGCGTTCATTCAGACCTCTGCCAACTAGATGTAAATGCTATCTATCTGATTTATTTTACATCCACTTTCAACAGGTGTAAGTAACTACACACGATGCAAAACAGGAGAGAATCAGGCCCTATGAAAGAAATCCTGGCCTTGAAGTCCATGGGAGTTTCAATATAGATTTCAGTGGGGCCAGGATTTCACCCTATGTCTGTAAACCAAATACATCCTTTAAAAATAATTAGTCCTCTAGTTGGAGAAAGAACCCCTCATTGAGATCAATATTAAGCTGCAGTGCTATTTTATTGTGAAATTTCAGTAGCAATAGTGGTTGTGAACAAAGCTAAATCTTCCTCCAAAATGAGATAAATAGAGATTATTATAAATATCTTTTCAGAAGTATATTTACAGCTGAGAAAGAAAGAAAGAAAGATGAGCTCCCTCATGAGTGTAGAAGTCAGGGCATGTTGATACTTTGAAATCATGGAATGGATTCTCTTGGCCAGGTTCTTGTTCCTGCTCTGGTGGCACAGTGAAGCTAGAAAGCAGATTTAATCAGCTATCATGGGAATTCCTAGGTAATGTAGAGCCTGTGTGGTGCTTCCACACCACGTCCTCCAAGCCCCCAGCACAGAGGTCTTTCCTGGAGAAAGGGGAGTGTAAGCAGGGTGGCTCTGTGCTCCAGCTATCTCCAGGTGTGTACCAGCCCCTTCGATCACAGGGAGCTAGGTGTAAATTAGAGCAGCCAAAGGGTAGCTCTTATTTATGCTGGGACTGGATCAGTTCCTGGCCAATGCCAGGATGTGGGGGGAGACAGAAAGTTGATTTAATGCCACCTTTGCGTCTCCCCCTGTTTCTGCATCTAGTATGCCTCAGATGAACCAGAGAATCTGGCCCCAGATGTGCTGTACTTGAGACATTCCAGAATACGAGCATATGGGATAACCTGTCAAATTAAATGTATTGTTTTTTAAAAAATATTTTGAAATAGGGAAACTAACTTTTTTAAAAAGTGTTGTTGTAACTGTGTTGGTGCGTGGGTCCCAGGATGTCAGAGAGACAAGGTGAGGTAATATCTTTTATTGGACCAACTGCTGTTGGTGAAAGAGACAAGCTTTTCTTAATGAAAAAAAACACAGTATAATGATAGGTGCAGCAGATATATTGTCAGTCAATCTCCTGTCCTATAGTATCCTTTGCACTTTCAGGGATCGCAGTTATCCAGAAGAATACATACAGCCAGCAGGGTGTTTAAGTTTTGCTTGTTGTAATTGCATCAGTCTGGACAACTGCTTCTTTTTTTCACAGCATTTCCATATTCAGTTACTAATTACCTTGCTTGTAGTTACAAAACTGACTGGCAGTATCAGAAATAGCAGCAGAATCTACAAGCTGTTAGTTTTAAGTCAATTGCAATTTCAATTCCTGTCCAAAATATTTGTAAATAAATCTGCCTTCAGAATGTATTTATAATGAAGACTATACAAGACTCTAATATACTACTAAAATTAATCCATTGTCTCTTTAATATAATAATTCTATCATCTGTTGTTAGTCTGTTATTAGACACTTTACCAAAGCCATTACAAACCTAGCCTAAAACACCAAGCCTCATCCTCATTGTTAGCTTTGATAGTTGCCTCTATCATTTAATAGTTTGCGTGTAGCCAGTCCAAGTTGGCAATGTCACCCCAAGCTGATTCGAGCCACAGACATTTTTGCTGACTGGAGTCATGCTATCTTTGCCAGTTTGCTGGAATAGACACAGACAGTGATTGGGTCATGCTGAAAACATTCCTGTCCTGTGAAGCAAGTCTGTTTGTATTTTAGGTTTGCCAGGACTAATGAATTAAAAATCTTGAACTCTCCACAGTTTGCTGCTTATTAATGCCTCTGTCAGAAGGATTTTTTTTCCCTCTGAAGCATGACAACATCATAAATCTCATTGTTGGAAAGGAAAGGAAGGGAGAGTGGAATTGCGAAGAAAAGCGGAAAAGGGTGGTCTTGTGGGATAGCAAAGCCTTTGGGAAGTGCAGGTAGCAGCATGTTGCCTTAACAGCTGTCTCAGCTTCTCAGACTCTGTCAGTTTGTTGCTATGTAGCAGGTGCAGCCTTTTCTTTTATTGAATCTTTACTCCATAAAGGCAACGACAAGCCAAGGCAGTGGCTAGCCCTGGATTATACAAGTGCAGACTCTCCACTAAGTGAGGTAAGGCAACAGGTGTGAAAACTGAACTAAACTGATAGAGCTGTAACACACTTAATCTGAGTTCTGCTACAGATTTTTATAAAGAAACAACAGCCTGTTCCACAGACAGTCCTCATGAATATGGAACTGCTTTCTGGGATCCTTTTAAAGACCTCATTATACTCAAAGTTGCCCACTCCCATATCCTTCTGTCTACAGAATGATTATCCTTTTTTGTGTGTGAGGAAAATAAGTGGGAAGTTTGTACGCAGTTGGTCTGTTTCATTTCCCTGAGCCGATGGGACATTCATCATCCTATTTACACACACAGCACTGAAATGAAGGTTTCCCTGCCATCTTGTTTTCTTTATTTTCTTTTTGATGATGGAGACCATTGAGGATTCTGCAGAAAATCTGGTGAAGAAATAATCTTAATTCATAAAATGAGATAACTGGCTCATATACAGTGTGTATATATAGATAGGATTTTCTTTCCGTAAATTAAAACAAAATGAAAAAGTCTCTTGTGTAATATTAAAAACATTAGTTATTGAAGGGAGTATTTATTTTTGCCCCCAGATCGGTGACTAAATACTGGTAATTTGTAAACATTGTAGACCACACAGTGTGTGAATGGGACAAGACCACTGATTTACTTAGGACAGTGCTCAGTTATGGTAAGCTTAAGGATTCCAACAAAAGACATCCTATCATGTTTGTTTGTTAAAATGGTATTAACTTCCATGAATGTTTTTTCTCATTTCTTAATCTGTGATATTAAACATGAAGCATCTTATTGTGTAGAAAACCTGTCTGATGATGGTTAACAGATGTGGTGCATGTGTGATACAATATGTAATGATGAACAGTTTTGTTTTCAAAGTTGTGCGAATTTGTATCTCTCTTTTGTTCTAGGTTTGTTTGAGAGTCATGTGGGAAGGGTATGTTATGATAAATAATTTTGGTTTTGCAATTGTTCTGTTTATTTAAAAAAAAAAACATGCAAGGTCTCAAATACTTTTCACAAAGAGACCATGGAAGAAGGAGATCGTTACTCTAGAAAAAGTTGCTACATAAACAGACCCCCCGCCCAAAATGCATTTTGTCTGTTTAAATGATTTTGTGGTCTCTCTTCCAATTGATGCTGGTTGGGTGTGTGTGTGTTCTTTTGATTAGTAATAATAGGGAAGATGGGGTTATTCATGAGAATCCTCCAAATATTAATATGAAAAGAGGCTGCCAGCTCCAAAGTAAGGATTTTAGAATAATTGTTCTTTTTTTTTTTAAAGAAAATCTAAGCACTGTAAAACATCCACTATTTGATCAGAGTTCACGTCAGTGGCTTATTGTGTAACATTGCCACAGAGGAACAGTCTCCCTCTGCTGGCTAAATGCTCAGACAGACAAAACAAAAAATAAATGTTTAAGTCAGTGGGCCAAACTCATGCTTGCTGCTACTCTACTGCCTGCAAAGGATTGATGCTAGGGATGAATTTTGTGCATCATCAAGCAAGGCCTTTCTCTTGTAATGCTGTTCTGTTGTACTGATTTTATGTGATGCTCTAATAATTAAACATAACATCAAATGGGGTGATGCAATTTTAGTGCAGAAAAATAACCATTGCTTTCAAAAGTGTTACGGAAAAGCTGCAATGTGATTGGGTAAGAGAACTGTCTTTTCCCTTTCCACCAATTAAACGCCACATTGTCTACAGAAGTATAGCGCAGCGTTTAGCAATTTTGCTATACTTTATTGAATAAGTTGATTTCCAATTTTCTGTGGGTGTTTTACACTTGTGTTTATTTCTTTAAATGTTGTTCATGTAGCAATCCACCTAGGTGATATAGGTGCAGTGCACTGCTGAGTAATGTTTGAAGTTTGCTTAGTTCTCTTACCGCCCAATGTTACAATGATTTCTGCCTGGCCAGATCTTTCACCAATGTAAGTTCCATTAACTTCATTTAGGCTCCATACAAGGACCTGGCTCATTGCAGGATTAGGACCTCAGTGTGTACTGTTAGTGAATGTTAATTACAGCTGCTTTATATGAGATATATAGGAGTTTAAGTTGGACATCAAATACTTAATAGACTTTGTTTGGGGAAAAAACTTTTATACGAAAGTCTAAATACACATAATATAACTATAAGTGCATAAGCCTGGACATGCTTTAAGCTTATCCTGTCTAAGTTGATAGCAACTGAAGACCAATAATATTTGATGGCTATTTGGTGTTCTGTGTGAAATAAATTGGGAATTTGGGGCTGTTTCTTAGTGAAGAGTGATCCACCTCATTAAAACCGCCATTTGGCGCTGGCAGACTCCGAAGAAAGGCCACAGGCTAAATTAGGCCCTGATCCTGCAATTGACTTCCTCTAGGCAGACCCTTAACATCTGCAAGGAATCCCACTGAAGGATCAGTACCAAGGTTTGGAGAATTATCAATCTTCTGACCCTTAAATGTGTGACTGTCCAGGTCAAGGCTGAGATATGCTGACAGGACAAAGTGGGGAAATTTTCTTCATCGTTGCCTTTACCTGAACTGTGGATAAATCAAGGAATTTAGTCTCTATCACTGAATTTCACTTTAAATTTTTTTTTAAAGAAAAATCAAATGTAGCCCCGTGCATGTCACCTTAAATTTGCTTTATTAGAATAAAAAATGCAAAAAGTGCAGCTATAAATGTGTGCAAATCACTAAGCTGAGGATGTAATGGCTTCATATGATCAGTAATGTATGCAATATTTATATAATTGCAGCTGGAACACACAGATAAACACGTAGACTCAAGTGCCCACATGATCACCACAGCAAGAGTACCTGCTGATAAGCCAGTCCGAATTGCCTTCAGTCTAAATGACTCCCCAGGTACAGTTCAATTTTATGGAATAAATGCAAATGAAATGTTTCTAGGTTTTATATGTTCTTGATCATATTTATATTACCAAATGAAGTCGAATGTCATGGATGGACTTTTTCCATGTGTGTGAATGATCAGTTTTCCTGTCTGGTAACTACAATATTGTTAGAGGAAACTAACAATAGATTAAAATCACTTGTCCAACAGCCTAGATACTGTAAAAGTGAGATTTATTTCAAGAGAATGTGGAATAAACATAAAACTATGACTGAATTACCAATATATTTCAATATAAACTGAAAAAGTGTGCTAAAACTCCTGAGCAACATTTTTTTTATTTTGTTATTTTATTTTGATGGGGAGGGCAAAGCTGGCATCTAAGCAAAGGACAGAACAAAAAGACACTTTCCCATAAGCAAAAAGGTTGAAGAATACCAACAGAATGCCCAGCTTGAGGGAAGGATTCAGGAAACAGCTGCTCAACTTGGCATGTTCCCCGATAAAGTAGCACAAATTCCATTACCGTTTGTCCTGTAAACTAATGTTGATGTTCCCCAACGTAACCTGTGCACATGTGAACCCTTGGATTAGGTTCACATTATTGAGTGTACCTTAATTTTTGAAAATGCCTAGAGAGCTATTGATAGGCACTTTGTGAAAATCAGAATGAAATAAAGAAACCAGAAACAGGGAAGCAATGGCAGCATCACAAAGAAGGAAACTAGCTCTGCTGCCAGTGCTAGGGGAGAGCCTGGAGGCAAGGCGGAGGTGTATACAGAGCTTGAAACTCACAGGGTTTCAGTTATCATTACTTGTGAACCCACTTGCCATGCACGTTTGTAGACTACCAGTGCTACAATACTATCTGTCTCCCTTTCACAATATGGATGGTGTAGCTCAGCTTCTGCTCTCAGAAGTCACAGATCTTTTCAGGTAAGTTATTCCATTCTGTGCATTCTTACACAAGAGAGTAACGTATATATATTTTCACACAGCATTCAGGAAACGGAGCATTATTATTCCTACAACAGCCTTAACTCTGCTCCGCGATTTTGTTTTTCATTCTTTGTATCCTTATTTTCTCTGTACACTCTTCAGTATCAAACTGCTTTTGTGTATGCTTTTTACACACAGGACCACATTCAAACCTGGTATAAGTAGATATAAGTCCACAGACTTAAGTGGAATAGCATCCACTTATGCCAAATTTGAATTGTATCACGGAGCAGAGTATAGGCTGTTATAGGAATAATAATGCTCCGTTTTCTGAATGCTGTGTGAATACAATCTCAACTCCAATGTTACATCCATGAAATTTTTGTCACCTTTCTGTTTTCTTTTATAATATTTTAAAAAATATTTTTAAATAAACTTCCTGTATTTATTACTACTTAATATTACAGTAGCCCACAAAGCCCAATCCACATCACAGCTCTGAAGGGACGTATAATTATGTATGGTAACATAGTCCATATGCTAAAAACTTTACAAAGACAAGTGACATATAAAAGTTGGGAGAAGGATACAATCTGGGGTGGGGGGGGGGAAAGGGTGCAAGCTTATATATGCCTTGTTTTGTAAATTATAATTACCAGTATATTATAATATATAAAGAAAGTACCAACTATCCCCATCTGCCCATCAAGCCATCCTTAACAATCTGATTTCTTGTAAGCATCACTGCAAAGGTAGGTCTTGAAGAGAGATTTTAAGGAGAGGAGGGGAGTGTCCTTATGAATCATGGAAGAATCAGCTGCTTGTGTGAAGAGCTGAAAATCAGGCAAAGGAGGCTTGCACAATGGGCAGAGCAGAGGAGATGGAAGGGCAACGTGATAAGGGATAAGAGAAGACAGTAGCGAGGGACAAGGTTGTGAAGAGCATGAAAGGTCAAAATTCAGTAATGTCGCAAACTGTTCCCTTCTCTCACCCTGTCTCCTCTGCTCTGCCAATAATTCCAGACTCTATTAAAATTTGTAAGAAGGTTCAGAACTATGGAAAGGTGTTCATTCTCTATTAAATTCCTTAGGACTTCCTCATTGCCCACATTATCTGGCTCTCAGCATACATGTGTTATTGCAGCAAGTGATCCAGACCATCTGTGAAGATAGGAGAGAGTAAATAGGAACCAGTAGATTAAGGACCATATTTCACACTGAATTGCAACCCCCGGAGGGCTACTCAGAGGTATAAATCAGCATAGTATTTGACCTCATCAGGAGAATTCAGCACCTGATGTTAACGGAAAGCCTGAATGGAGATATCAATATCAAACCTATTTAAACAAGGCAAAGGAAAAATCACTCCAAGTCTGAAGTTTTACAGAAAGCCACATTCAAATGATCCTAGTTCAAACAAGCAACTGAAATGTCTTTTTTTAAAGAGACACTGCAAAGACATAAATCTGCTGACACAGCGTCTCACTGCCACCTTTATCCATTTTAAATTTAGAATCTTTTTTCTTCTTTTCACCTTTTTATATTCCTCTTATCCTTTTTTCATGGGAGGAGAGTTGCTTTTCTCAATTCAGGAGGGAGTTCTGTGTTTCAACTCTGACAGCATCTTGAGAGATTTAGTATTGTGATGGTACACCTCTATCCCGATATAACGCTGTCCTCGGGAGCCAAAAAATCGTACCGCGTTATAGGTGAAACCGCGTTATGTTGAACTTGCTTTGATCCGCCGGAGTGCGCCCCCCCGCCCCCCTGGAGCGCAGGGCTGCCCATAGGATTCGGGGGGCCTGGGGCAAAGCAGGGGTGCTGCTACGCTTGTACTCACCCGGCGGCAGTCTAGGTCTTTGGCGGCATTTCGGCGGCAGGGGGCCCTTCAGTCGCTCCGCGTCTTCAGCAGCACTGAAGGACCCGCCGCCGAAATGCCGGCGAAGACCCGGAGCGACTGAAGGGCCCCCTGCTGCCGAAATGCCACCGAAGACCCGGAGCGCCGCCGGGCCAGGGCTCGCGGGGCATTTCGGCGGCGGGGGGCCCTTCAGTTGCTCTGCGTCTTCGGCAGCACTGAAGGATCCACCGCCGCCGAAATGCCGCCGAAGACCCGGGCCAGGGCTCTTGGGGCCCGGGCCCTGCAGCAAATTGCCCCACTTGCCCCCCCCCCCTCAGGTGGCCCTGCTGGAGCGCTGCTTTACTGCGTTATATCTGAATTCGTGTTATATTGGGTCGCATTATATCGGGGTAGAGGTATATGTAAAAACCTCACCCAGAATGAGGAGGTGAGTGAATTAAACTCATTTAATGTTTTTTCTTAGATGTTGTCTTGTTTGCCAATCATGGTGGCAGGTGTGATGCCCCGTAAGGCTGAATTATTCTACCACAGTAGTACAGGGAGGAATTTACAACGTAACCAGATATAAAAGGGGAAAAGGTGTGTTTCTTCTGGATGGTGATTATCTCACTGGTTAGAACTGCAACAAAGTACTGGGTCTGAAAGCAGAGACTGTTATCAACTCAAGAAAAGCAAGTTATTTAGTGTTATTTATCTACAAGAAGGGATATGGCTTATGTTATCCATACCAAAAATTGTTTTACTGTGTTCAAAAGTTGGCTCTTTTAGGGCCTGACAATGACCACAAAAACAATTAAAACCGGGCCAGTTTTGTGCTGTATTTTTATTATGATTGTGGGGTGACCAGGTCCTTAAAAGTCTTGAGGGAACTCTGACCAACTGCTAACAGTGATGCTATATAAAAATACAATTTTACTGTGTATCACTTAATCCTGTAGATATAGATATCTATATTTGATGCTTTTACTCAAGTTCACTAAACTGGCACTAGACATAAATTCTCTCATAGCTTGTCAGATTTGTAGCAGTTTACCTTAAGGTGTGATTTAAAACTGATTGAATTAAACCAACACAAAAGGCTGAGTGGGCAAGCTTATTTCAATTTTGCTTAAATTGATGTAGGAATAGATTTAAATTAAACCAAATAAGCTGCCCTTAAGCCAAAATAAGGGCACGTCCACATTTAAAACAATGCAGCGGCGCAGCTACACTGATGCAACTATGCATTGTAATCTTATTTTCACAGTGTTATTATTATTATTTATTTGTATTGTGGTAGCACCTAGGAGCCCTAGTCATTGACAGGACCCCTTTGTGGTAGGCGCTGTACAAACACAGAACAAAATGACAATCCCTGCCCTAAAGAGCTTATAACTGAAGAATGAGACAACAGGCTACATGTGGATACAGCAAATAGAAGGGAATAAGGAAACAATAACACAATACTGATTATTATTTGTACCCTCACCTCTGTCCTTCCTATTGTTTGCCGTGCTCACTTGTTGAGTTTTGTCTTTAGTTAGGATATTTCTACACAGCAACTAGACTCCGCATATAGGATTACAGCATCCCTGCCCCAAGGAGCTAACAATCTAAAGATATGTCTACACAGCAAAGAAAAACCCGCAGCTGACCCATGCCAACCAACTCAGACTTGAGAGGTTCAAGCTGCAGGGTTGTTATGTTGTTGTGTAGGCCTCTGGGCTCAGGTTGGCGCCTGGGCTTTCTGACTCTGTGAGGTGGGAGGGTCCTAGAGTTTCGGTGCCAGCCCAAGCCCGGAAGTCTACACAGCAGTGAAACAGCCCTGAAGCCTGAGCCCCGCGAGCCTGAGTCAGCTGGCACACGCCTGACATGGATTTTTCTTTGCTGTGTAGACATATCCTTAGATTGTTAACTCCTTGGGGGCAGAGATGCTGTAATCCTATATGTTTGTACAGTGCCTACCAGGATGGGTCCCTGATCCTAATTGGGAGCTTTGGAAACTACTGTAGTACAAATAATAAATTCATTATTTTAACACAATGTGTGGGCTTCAAAGTGCATATATTTTCTATTTAGAGGTTCATATAAAAATAATAATAATATCCCTGATTAATCCTTAAAACCATGTTCTGTTTTTGGTAGACAGTAATGACATTTTTCTGAGGATTTCACAGGAATTTATGAGAAATGCCCTTAAAGGGCATGAGACTGAGAGTCCCCCACGGAGCATCCT